CACACACACACACACACACACACACACACACGCACGCGCGCGCACACACGAAACTCAGGCTGCTTTTCTTGCTGAGAAACAAGCCAAAAGAGGTGGCACTGGATTCAGAGGCCCTTTGGCCTGCGGGTGTGCGCGCTCACAGCCTCGCCAAGACATCCTGGGCCACAATGAGGCCTCACAACTGTGCACGGAAGCCCCTGCAATCCACTGGTGGTCTTAGGATGAGACGAACCCAATGCAAATGAAGGCAGGAATAATTAAGGCAGAGTAGTGCCTGGCCTAACTGACTGCACCTAGAGGGAGGAGAACGGTCTAGAAAGACTGGGTCCCTAAAAGGGTGAGAGTATTCAGAAATAATCAGTGAGAAACAGAAAGGTAATGGGCACCTGAGAAGGCATCCAGGTATAGCACATGCTGAGAATGTCCCCCAAACACTGTGCCACCCCGCACATGCCACGGCTGACGTCCTCATGCCCATCTCCCCATCACTGGATCAGCCTTCCAGGGTGAAAGGCCAGGCAAACCTCTCCCCAGCCAAGGCCACCCTGCCCACCCAGGCACCAGTCTGAGCTCAAGATGGGCAGACACTGTACACTATTTACCTCCACATCCAGGCACCCACCATTCCCCCCGCAGTGTGCCTTGGGAAAAGCACTCGATGATAATTATAGTAACCAAACATGTGCACACAGGGCGTGGTGGGGATTTTCACCCAGTCTGGCCCTACTATATGGCACCTCACAACTGAGGCACCAAGGAGAGAAGCAATGGGCCAAGTCCACTCACATCCCTAAAATGGGACCTTACAGAAAGGTTACCTATTCCAGCCACAGACCTGGCGTTTGGGCTTCATCCATATGAGCTGTTCAACTATAAGGTGCTCAATAAGGTCATTCGTGCATTCACCCGGTCATTCACCATATACCTCCTAAGCACCATGAGGAGCCAGGCTAGGTACACAAAGGCATGAAAACCAAGCCAGTCCCTTCTCCCGTGGACTGACAGCTGGTAAATGTCTCTCAACTATGTTGATAATGAAAGGAAGAAATCAGAACTTCCAAGTATAAAATAGGCAGCGGTACCATAACCCTGGGACTGGCCAATGAAGGGAAAGCAGAGAGGCACATATGGGGCAGGGAGAGCCGACTGGTGACCAGGGTGCACATGCCAGGTGGCAGGAAGGTGCAGACAGAGTGCGAGGACACACCAGAGAGAGGAGGGGACTATGACTGAAGTGCCAAGAGCGAGAGCAAAAACTCAGCCTCTCAACAGCCCAGGCCTGAGGGCCAGCTTCCTCTCCTTGGAGGGTGTCTAAAGCTCCACCCAGTCCGAGAGAAAGCCATTTAGGCAGCCACCCAGCCATTGTCACCCACTCAAGCCAAGTGACTAGCTGCCTCAGGAGAGCTGTAACTAGAAACTTCAAACAGAGGGGTTTTCAAGACCGGAGTGGCCTTTATCACAACAAGCACCTGCCAGACTCCAGGAAGGAGAGCGGCTGAAGATCAAAGGGGCCGACAGACACACACACACACAAGAACTGCAATGCCAGGCTCTGAAAACCAGCCGTGGGGCTAAGCACACAAGGCAGGAGTGATGCACTCAGATGCTCCAGTGTGGTTTTTGGGGTCTTTGTTTCCTACCAAACAGTGAAAAGGAAGTGAACAAAAATCTCGAATTGGTAATCTTCCCAGCCAAATGTTCCTGCAATGACTTGAGAAGAAAACATCCCCTGGGGTAAAATCAGGTTGAGCAAACATTCACCCTTACAGAGACCCCCAGGACACACAGCCAGGCCTAGAACAGGGGCCTGGGTCTTCTGGAGACCATGACATAGCAGCTTTGATGACACTTCCCAGGAACGATGTGCAAGGGGTGGCCTGGGAAGACTTGAGCAATGCCCACTCCTCCCACATGACTTCTGCCAGCCTCACCCTCCCCAAACCACCTATCCAATACCAATGGTCCCTCCTCCCTCATGTACCAATTAAGCAACCACATTTCCCAGAATTCTTTGCAATTAGGGGCAGCCAAAGGGCTTTAAGTACAAGTAATAAAAGAAAAAGGGATTTCCTCAAAGAAAGCTTATTATTTTTAAAGCTTTAAATCCTGTAGAGTTCAACTGTACAATGCACTCCGTGCTAGTCTAACCTCCTGCTTCTACCAGTCAGAAAGTCAGATGCAACGGCTGGAACGCCAGCTGTCATAAAGGAAGCATGAAGCCATCGTGAAAATACAAGGGCATGCCAGGGGCTGGGTGAGGTGGTGCCACCTATAATCCCAGCCACTCAGGAGGAGAGGCTGAGGCAGGAGGATCACAAGTTCCAGGCTAGCTGGTCAACTTAGCAAGACTCTGTCTCAAAATTTAAAAAAAAAAAAATTCTTTTTTTCTTTAAAGGGGTAAAGATACAGCTTAGTGTCAAAACACTCAAAATAAAAAGGGGGGGCATGCAATGAGGACAACAGAACAAGAGCAGCTTAAGTCCCTGATGGCCACCATACATTCACTTCCACCTAGACTAGACTGACTATGTCCAGACTTCTGTTAGGTAGAAGACAACCCGTGTAGCAGTCATGCCACAGGATGCACCACCAAGACCGAGACACAAACCTTCAAGTGCACAGACTGGTGTGATGCCCAGTAACAGCAGCAAGTCTCACCACAGTAGTTTTCACTTAGCAACAACACACAGCGGGTTCTTCCACGTGAGGGACTCTCTGGAACCCTCACCAGCACCTGTCCTCTAATTCATCCGAGTATGCACTCAAAGGTCGAGCAACGCCTACGCGCCAGTCAGAGGGGTTCATGGGACGGCTCGGCCTCCCCGCCTGGGCTGTCTCCCTCACCTTCAGCTGTAGGGCCTTCTCTTTTCAGCATCTGGACAGCTCCTACATATTTCTTCAGCTGGACTTTGAGCACCTCGTTTTCTCTGCAGGTACAAGAATGTTAAAAAAAATAAATAAATTTAAAAATTGGCAATTTAGACCCAAAACAGGGGAGGGGGGGTGTCTGTGTACAGAAAAACACACACTTTACATCTTACAAATATTAACATTCTCATTCCAGAGATCATCGCTGGAAAGGGCTATTACCAAGCACATATTTGTGGAATGCCTTCAAGAACCTTCCTTCTGGAATGGAGGCAAGCACCGGCCACAATGCCGCCAACTCGGGACACTGACACTCGCCATGCCTCCCGTCTGCCCAGGGCCTGTTCAGTGTCAAGCCCTCTGTGATATTCTCCCCTTCAACAGCAGCATGTACCAAGCACCGTGCATTTGTCCCAGGAACATGCTTAATATAGTCACTAACTACTCCATGCACTAACACCACCTGCCAGGCCCCAGGTCAAGTGTCTGTACACATCTGACTAGATCCTTGCCATTTCACAGATGAGAAAACTGAGGCACCAAGGAGAGAAGCAACTGGCCAAGTCCACTCACATCTCTATGCAACATCACACTATGGAACGTGGATCCCATGCTACCCCAAGATCCCGCCTGAGTCACCTCCCCAGGTACACTGGCTGAGGATGGGATGTGAAGATCAGGGGAGCAAGCTGCACCACAGAGTGTAGACTTGAAGGATGTCATCTCACCAAGTCACACACACGCACGTTCAACCATCTGTTCTTCCTTCAGTGGAAGAATGCACTGTGACCCCATGGATTCTCCCCACTTGACAGGAAAAGAGTTGGACAGTCTCTGCCCAAGATCATATTGCTAAGAGTGACCAGTAATACACGCTGCCAAGATCCAAACTCAGGTCTCTGTCCCCAAGGCCCAGGAGCTTCTCCTTAGGAATGCAGACTTGGTCTCTCAACAGAGAAGTGCCCCCTCCATATTGTTTCTGTCCCGGCTCCACCACAGGACATGAGCTTGAGTCCTTTAGACATGCCATAAGACTTTTTCTTTCCTCACAATGAAAAGAACTCAAGACTTGGTTTCTTCCCTCGTTATAAAAATAAAAAGGCTCAGTACAAAAAAAAAAAAATCAGATTATGGAGAGTGAAAATGAGCTGAAAACCATGTACGTCTTCTGCTCCACTCACCCTTCACCCTCAGTAGCCCGGCATGGGCATGTGCTCTCCTCAAATGCCCAGATGATCACTAACACTCCACACACTCCTAGACCTGACTTCCACAGCAGGATCATACTGTAAGTTGTTCTGCAACTGAGTCATTTCATATAACTTTTTACCAGAGTGAGCCACCAACTCCGCCATGTTTGCTCAGCTGGAAAACTCTGAATTGGCTGGTTCTGTGTGCCCGTTCTCAATGCACCTGGCTATAACTCAGTCTACAAAGACAGCACCTTCTGGGTGTTATGCTTCTCTGCACCGAGTTTTGGAAGACAGAGCATCAGGATCAAATGCAGAAACTATCGTTTACTTAGAATTCTATATTCATCTTAAAAGCCTAGAGAAAGTAAGTCACAAAGAAGTCACTCCATTGTCCCCGTCCCCCTCCCCCTAGGCAGTCTGTCATGGATGTTTCTATGGGTAATCACACTCTCTCCACCTGTGATATGAATAGCAAATATTTAAAACAAGTTGTGCAAAGGTTTGTGGGAGGGAAAGTTCCCCAGTGTACATGAGGGTACAATGTGTTCCCTTGGAATCCTTTAACCAGAACTTTACCACCCATCACGACTGGCTCCTAATTGCCATGTATAAACTCAAGTCACAAATCATCTTAAGAGTAGAAAAAGAAAATTTATATCCGTTTCTTCCCACATGTACTTAAGACTTAAGGAAGAACTTTGTTTTGGCAGAACCCAGGGGTGCTCTACCACTGAGCTACACCCCAGACTTTATTTTTTAAGACAGGGTCAAAGTTGCAGAGACTGGCCTCAAGACCATGATCCTCTGAGTTGCCGAGATCACAAGTGTGCACCACCATGCCTGGTTTGAAAAACATTTTCCAAAACAGGATCCACCCAAACCAACCAAAGGTGTGGCATGTTGACACTCGGTTGCCAGGTCTCATCTCATGGGCTACCAACAGATCAACGGCCAAACCCTTGGCTTCCTTGTTTATCTTCAACTCTGTGGTCAGCACTAAAATGTTTCAGGTGGTTGCTTTATTCCTATTTGAATCAATCTTTTAATAGTGTGTTAAGACAATGTCTAAAAAAAAAATCACACCTAATACAATGGCAAGAATTTTAATATAAATTAAAAACAATGAGAAGCTGTGGGGAGTGTATCTCACCACTGGACGACACCTCTAGGAGCTGGAAATCCACCCCAGACAACTCTACCACTGAACTCATTTGCCTTTGTGAGAAACTAACACTCATGGGCCTCTGGGACTAGAGAAGTCCTTCCTGAATGACACCCAAACTCCCAGCCACAGTACCAGCCACTCCAGGGACACCAAGTCTTGATGCTTAGAAAGGACCAACCCCTTTTGGTTTTTAATTTTTATTTTGAAGTAATTATAGATTCACAGGAAATTGCAAAGATAATGCCATCAAGTCCCGTACACCCAAGCCCTGTTTTCCCCCAACAGTTATATCTTACTCCAGGGCAATATCATGCCCAGGAAATCCACACCAGCACAATGTATGCAATGTGTGCATGTAACATGATCAGTCTCACTGCTGTAACTGATGCTCGTAATCATCTTTTGCCACAGTTCTTTTTTTTTTTTTTTTTGGAGGGGGTGGATACCGGCACTTGACCACTGAGCCACACCCCAGCCCCATTTTGTATTTTATTTAGAGAGAGGGTCTCACTGAGTTGCTTAGTGCTTCACCATTGCTGAAGCTGGCTTTGAACTCATGATCCTCCTGCCTAAGCCCTCCAAGCCTCTGGGATTACAACTGTGCACCACCACATCCAGCTCATAGTATGTCTCTTAAGATAGAACACAGACTTTAATGACTATAGCATCAGGCTGTGCCCCTGCATAAAACAAACCAGATGGAAGACCCAGGCACTGTGGCACACTAAGGAGGTCTCGGCCCCCTCAGCTCAGACAAAAGGGCTCTTGTCCCTTCCAAAAGTTTTTGTTTTTTTAATTTACCATGTTTCTAGCCTAAGAAAATAATCCCCAAACTTTAAACAACTAATTTGCAACTACTAAACCGCACTTTCATTTGTACACGAAAAATCAAATGGAATTTATCATTTTTTTAAAAATACTTTTTTTTCAGTTGTAATTGGACACAATACCTTTGTTTTATTTGTTTATTTATTTATTTATTTATTTTTAATGTGGTGCTGAGGCTCAAACCCAGGGCCTCGTACATGCTAGGCAAGTGCTCTATTGCTGAGCCACAACCCCAGCCCCCAGGATTTATCATTCTTAACAGTACACAGACCTCTATTAGGATTTTCAGATTAAGATGCCTCTGACTTCACCCTGACAAGCCGGTGGTGCTCCATCAAGAGAAAGACAGGGATGCGGCTGATGCCCACCCCAGTGGGGACCGTCTACCCAGGGCCAGGTGGTGTTTAGACAACAGAAATGGAATGGTAACAAGATACCAGACCCTGACCTTCATGGAAGTGACATTTATCATGGCAAGTGGTCCAACCAGTTAGGGAACGGGTAATATGGTCTCAGATAACAATAAATACTGCAAAAATAAAGCTAGGGCAAGGATGGAATGTGGGAGTTTTTAATACAGGGGAAACTAAGAAGGGCTTTCTAGAAGGTGACAAACAAGACAAGATCTGGAGGAGGTGAGGCTCCACACCATTTCCTTGAGGGACAGTGCTAGAACATATGGACCTCGGTGCTGGTTAAAGTTCAGTTTCCAACTGAGCAGCTGGGGGTCGAGGGGGGTGGTGCTGGGACTCGGTAACAGCCTAGGCATGTCTCCAGGACCAAGCTCAGGCAGAACAAAGAGACAAGGAAAAGCCCCAGCCAGCCTGAGCTTGCCAGGGAAGCCAGGCAGCCGAGGAGGCCAGGAATCACAAAGGCCCCTGCAGCCAGGGCAAGGGGTGCGGGTTAGTTCTGGAGAAGGGTGTCCAGTGCAAGTGCTAAGCTGGGTGAGGACACATGCAGTGAGAGAAACGCTGGAGTGGGCAGAGGAGATGCCAGCCACAGCAGCCGCCAGGATGGGAAGGCTGGGGTGGTGGCTGGGGAGACGGAAAGAGCATGCAGACACTCATCCACAGGATTCCAGAAAGCCTCGCCAACTACGGCTCCCAGCCCCAAATATGCCTGCTGGCCACCCCGCAGCCTCCTTTAAAATCACCAGGAAAGCAAGCAAAGCATTGAGTAGGTGGCAAGTACCTCTCACACAGCTCCCTGTGACTGCAATAATTAATGTTTGTAAGTCAAAGCAATTACATCTGCCCCAATGTCAGAATAAACAACCAGCAACCTCAACAGCACCACTCAATGGATAATTACTCCAAACAAAACTAACGAACCTGTTAAGTGCACTTGGTAATTCACAGGCATGGAAACAACACAAGACGACACACAGGAATTTTACTTTCCCAGACGAAAGCATGGCATGAGGGTGGCTCAATTCTACTATCTGCTGGGTACAGCGGGTCCCACCTATCGATACCAACCATTAGAAGAACCTAAGTTGGGGGCCAGGCTGCCCAGGGCAGTGGGCACTGTTCCAAAACAGGCAGGAAGGGCGGCACAAACCACCTGGCTTTGTGGGGTTTACAGCCGCTCCTAAGATCTCAAGTTCAAGATCACTACAAAAAGCTAAGAAACCATTTCCTCCAAATTGTGCACACGGCTGATGGCGTCCTCTCACTCCAGCTCCAACCACCCCCTTCACTTTTCCTAAGTCATTGGACCTTTCAAAGCTACTGCCACGCAGAGCACAACACATCTCCTTGGCTTTCTTTATGGGAAACTTCAGCTCACACCCTGCGCCTCCCTGTGACAATACAGCAGCCACCAGCCACCGCTGTCCAGCAGGAGCCGCAGAGGGAGGCCAACAAGGCTTGCT